TTTGTTGGTTCGAGGTTTAAATGATAAATATATGACTAAAATCGAGTATACCAATAACTGGAAAATTGCCTTTAAGGGGTTAGTATGGACCAAGCCGTATCTGGAAAGTATCTTCAAAATTTTCAAAATTTTCTAAATATGTAATTTCTTAGATGGAATAATAATTAAAATGATGATGATAAAAATTGATATCAAAATTGATATTTCATATGCTTAGATGTGTATTGTTGTGCGGTAGAGCGTGTGCAATGGTTACTACTGCGGTTTTCTCACTCCTAATCATATCAAGGTGACTTCGTTATGCGTATCAGTTCACGGAAGCGATGTATTGAGTTACATCAAGTTTATTCGACGACGTCTAATCCGGTCTGGTGTCCTATTTGCTACTGCCCGCGAGCGCGGTAGGTTGAACAGAGCGTACCTACAATTCTACTCTACTCAGTCTATCAAGGATTTTATCTAAGCTATTTGTCTCTACCTTAAGATAGAGCGGGAAGAACAGCTAGCTTGATTTATCATTCAGACATCTCTATTTCAAGATATGGTTTATCAAAGATAGTCAACACAGATATTAAATCGCGACGATGATTCCAGCTCGAGGAATGGTTTACAAATTAATACTCCTAGAATTGCTTTTGGTTGTAAGCTCCAATGGTGTGTCTGATCCATTCACGAGATCTTGTCCGGCGCTGCCAGACTTCACTGGACAAAGAAATCTTGCGTTCGAAGGAGTTATAACTAGTCTTATACCTGAAAGATCAGGTCAACTTACTGCTGTAGTTAGAGTAGGGAAGATATATCAAGGAACGAGCGACCTCAGCTCCGTTGAATCAATAAGACAGATACAGGGTGCTTATTCCTGCAGTCATCTACATCGAGTTGGCGATACGAGAATTTGGGTTGCAAGGAGACATTCTAGCGGTACTCTAACTGCGAAGGCTTCTTTAGCGAATCTTCAAGATAACGTTGATGAAGTTCAGAATCGTCTAAAAGGTACGGAAGGTAAGCTTTTAAAAAAAGTTAAGTTATATGTATATTTTGTGATCTTTTCTTTATAGTTTTTCTTTCAAGTTTTTTTTCTTAACAAATACTCAAACTTTAGATTTTTTAAATGTATTTATCACAATGCCTGCCTAATTATCTTATAAACCACGAACTATCAAGATAATTTATTTTGTTCATATGTTTAAATTAAGCAGTCAGCTCTCAATCGACGCTTGGTATCTTATTTCTACTCTTTGGACAAAAAGGTCAAGATAAATCACTATCCATTCTATACAAGGGACAATATTTAAGTAATAACCTTATATATATATAAAAAAAAAGAAGAAAGAAAAAAGAAGAAAAAATTTTAAAACTATTTTCTTTTTCTAAGACAGCTTTCAAAGCATTTCCTGAAACTTCTAGAAACTTATATACAGTATTTCGACCAGATCGTTCGTTAATGATAGCTGCTGTTAATAGTACGCCGTCTAGAAAATATTCAAGATATTATCGCTTGCAGATGATTGTTTTGAATTTCCTTCAAATTGTACTTGATAGCTTTAAGTGTATTCTAATTGATTTATCAGACAGCGAGTCCACTTAATAACTTCGTTAAATATTAATGTTTTTTCCCTTATAGCAACAATATTTTGAGTTATATAACTCACGAATGCAATCCAAATCTTTCGGAATCTGCTTTTTCCAACAATTTTTCGTATTAAGTGCTTCTCTGTGTTTTTAAAATGTGTTATGTGTTTTTTTACTGTAAAATTAGTATAATTGTCGTAAGTTTTGTTCTTGTCATCGCTTTGACCACAACATACATATCTTTGTCAACCCATTCTGAAGCATGGCTTCGGCCTTCGGTGCCTCGTATTTTTCCAGCTGGCTTTTGAAAAAAAAAAGCGTTAATAAACTAACTAGAATCCGGCGAAAAGCAAATCTTTTTTGTTTTGTGTTTGGAAATCCTCACTTTATTGATTTTACTATTTATGATAAGCTATCGATATTCGAAATTTAAATTCGTATTACAAAAACAATCTATTATGAATCAAAGGCTGTTTTAAACTAGAACAATTCACGTCTCATACCGTGACTGGAGAATATAAGCTGCTTATAATGGTTCTATGAGCATAAGAAAATATAAAATTACTTCAGAGTAGTTGTCTTGCTCTTATGGCTTACATAATCCGGATGTAGTTTCAGATTTTGGTCATATTTCAATGTATAAATCCTGACCTTTTTAGAATCTGTGCTGTAAAACACGAAATCCTAGCTTGGTAGAGCTTATTTAGTTCTATTTTCTAAAAACGTTTCCATTCATTCGAGTAATAAATATTACGCGCAAAGTATATAAGTCGAAAGATTTCCCGATGAATGCTAGATTCGATCAGTGGGATGTTAGTTCGTAGTAAGATCATCTTTCAATTGTACATGATACATACAGTATAATAAACTATATATTAAGGTCATAGCACGATCATAAAGCTATATGAGATAACTCTTCTTTATGGAAATTTGTTGTTGTATTTTTTACAGGTGCAAATCTTTTTTGAAAAAAAGAAGTATTTAAAAAAAGTGTAGTTAAGGTACTGTTTCCACACATTTAGAGCCGATTAGCCTGATTCCAAGGTCCAAGAAAAGACTGGGTCGAGTTAACATTGCAGTGCATTGTGGGAATGTTTCACGGGACAGGCTCCAGCATGGCGTTAATTTCATCCCCTAAAACAGTCCCACAAAGCACTGCAACACCAACTCGACCAAGTTGTCAACCTTGGAATGACTATATACTAAAACGTTTCGTATAGTGACAGCAGCAAAAGCTCTATTCGTACTGCATGTGAGCGGTAAAATTGCATCACGCGCACTGGCAACTCGTTTTGTATGGCAATCACGTTCCAAGGAACTGACTTTAACCATATTCGAATTCTGGTGCTGACACGATTCTTTTGACAACGACAATAACTTAACAATTATGTGACCACACTGGTTTTTTACCCATCGCTAAAGAACAAAACTTACAACTAAAATATTGAATTTTTACAACGCCCTTCCGGTGCTTACGGTCAACGACTATAACCCTTTTACTATGGGTGGTTTGTAATCATTTCCGAGAAAATAAATAACAAGACATGGTGGCCATGTTTGCTGATTTAATGAAAGAGACTGATATTTTGTTCAAATACTAGCATTTGGCATATCCAAGGGACCTCAGAACACGCACGGTGTGTTGGGGAGGGGGGAGGGTGCTAAGAGCCCCAAGCTCCCCCTCCCCCTGTCTCCACCATCCATGTATGTGTGATTTCCTATAGTAACGCTCCTGTCACGCCTTTTCCGTTTTTTTGTCACTCCTTTTCCGTTGCCTCAGTTTGTTTTCGTTCACGGCAACAGTTTTATGACAAAATGTTTTATTAATTCCTCTAGTGGATATTACTGTGGTAAAATAATACCCACAATAACATCTCGAAGGCCCTAGAGATCTTCGTGGGCGTTTCCGGTTTCCTGGGGGCTTGTTCTGGAAGGTCTTGAACTTGCTCTTAATATTGAGTGAAACTGAAACAATATCACACGATCTCGTATTACGGTAAAGACGGTACGATTTTCGCCTACAACTCTCGTATAACACGCTCGCGTCTGTCGTCGGCGAGTTGTAGGCTTGATTTACACGCTACGACTCGAGTTGTAGGATGGCGCGAGCGTGTTGTATACGATAGTTGTAGGCGAAAATCGTACCGTCTAAACCGGCCTTTACAAAGAAAATACAAGTAAAACTTTTGAGATCTCTGCTCTTCATGGTTAGCCTCGATTTTGATTAAGTAAAATTTCCCGTACGTGTTTCAATAATGAAAATACGTGAAGTTTTAAAAGTTATGTATTATTCTTAGACTGCATGCGAGCAGCCACACTTTTTCTTCCAGGCTCATCAATAAGGGAAGGGGCGTTTTTTTATTAGGGGGAGTACTGGGGGATTAGCAGTAAACGTTAGTCACTTCCTTTTTCACTCAGTAAAGAAATTTAAGATGACCCTCTTATTAAGTCAATAAGGAACTAGCTTTCGCCAAAAAAAGACGACATCAAAGACATCCATGCCTTCCCTAATAGACTTTAAAGACGAATTTTAAGTAACTATTTTAACGGTCCAGGGCCGGGTTGTTCAAAGCTGGATTAGCGCTAATCCAGAATTAACTCTATAGGTCTCTATAGGATTATGGCGTTCCATCCCCGCCAAAATTGATGGTTTGTATTTGAAGTTCATCACATGAATTTTGCATTCGAGTAAATGTTTTTATGTTATCATCTTGTATTTCATATGCTTCATCAAGGGTTCAACATACGTGTTTTATATTTGTCGTTCATGTTTTATATTCTTGATTGTCG